CCACATATACTATAAAAAATGGAAAGAAGAGCAGACGTCTGTGCTTGTAGAGCTCTGGAAATCCCATGAATATAAACCTCGTGTGAGAGAAATTGGCTCCTTGTAAGTCTTCAGCCATGGATCAGGAAGAATCACTTGCAAATGATCAGACTTTCCTGAATAATTAAAACAGTAAATGTCACTTTCATTGCCACTTTTCAGGAGAGAAGACAAGTTAACGATGAGCCTATTTTAATTTTTTTATAAACGAATTATTGCTTTACTGTAATTAAGTAGGAGTTTTTATTTAATGTTATATGCTTTTAAATATTATTTTAATGTTAATAATATTTGGATGTTTATTTACTGTATGGATTCATTAAAATATCATTTTTAAATACTCTAACTTAACCCTAACCCTAACCTTAAAGAGGTGAAACAGAAAACCCTTTGCTACCAGCACAATACCATATTCACATTTAGTTAAAAAATAATAGCTTGATAAATCATGGTAAAATGTACTAGCTTAGGGTTTAATTCAATATCATACAATATTTAAATCAAATAATTTCATTTTTTTCAACAGACAGGATTATTTGTAATAATATTCATACAATAACATGTACAGTATACAGTATGATTTACCTTGTGTAGTACATACCCGGAGATAGCAAATTGTGCTTAAGTGTTTTTTTTTTGCCGTAAATGCCTGTTTAAAATAAAACGTGATCTTCTAATGAAGCTTAAAGTGCAAGAACCTTTATACAGCTCTGGCCTATTCTCAGAAGAGTTACTGTAATACTTTCATTGGTTTTTATTTGGAAACCTCCCTGATGAGAGCTGCAAGGATCACTCTTTATCGTAAACACAGAGTAATGGCTTCCTTCTTGTTATGTCTGCCTGCTTTACCTCTTTTATAAACACATGTAATTAATATTAAGCATCTTTCTTTTTCTTTTATCTTATGTTGCTGTAGTGCTTATACCTTAATTGTTTCTGGTGTTTTGCAAGAGTTAGAATTACCCAATTCTTTTATTATGATAACATTTTTTGGACAACACTTTTGGTGTTTTAATTTTACATTAGCAACCTCAGTGAATTTTGTTCAAGGGTACAACAGCATTCCCTCATCTGCCACATGAACCCACAGTCTTTCAGCTACAGGTTCAAATCCTTTATAACTCCTCCCAATCATCTGACTGATTGACAAACAATTTGAACACTGTGAAAATTAAGAATGACCAAATTATGGCTTTTATAGCAAGTCTACAAGATTTCTGAAATTGGATAAGCACAATATAAGCATCCAGTCCTGTTTAATCCAAGACCTTTTTCTTGAGCAAGGGGAGTAAGCGGTCAGGAAATTTACAAGGGTCATACCACCATGCTACTTTAATCTCAATTGATTGCTCTGTTTTTAAAAATAATAATAAAAGTATACATATCTTTGCACAGTATGTGCTGAAAACGTTTATCTCCTTTTAAAGGTTCGGCTCTACTGTATATACAGTACAAAAACAAATACACCTGCAGTGTCTTCCTTTTTTCATTTCGTCTGCTCATCAGAAAGATATACAGTATTGAAAATATTAGAGGAGTGTTTCCACACAGAGGAACAATTGACTTGGAGAACCTGATAATCGCAGAGCCTTTAGGAAAGAGATGGCCTGGAGGTATTTACTAGCAGGACCCTTTTGAAGTTATGAGACCCTCAGGCCTCCCCTAGTCACCACACACACTTACAGAAGTAACAATTAAATGAATAAACACAATAAAGGACATTCTCTGTTGAAACTTACAATATTGTATGATTATGATATTTTGTCCACTCAAAATAATTAGTCTGCTCTGATTAGAATTTTACCAAAGAAATTATATTGTGAATATAGATATAGAATACAGAGATATAAATCCTGAGTATAAAACTATCCTGTCTCGTATCAATGAGCATCTGTGTGCTTTCTGATAACAGCAGAGAAGAGTTCCGCACGTTATTAACCATCTGAACATACTGTTGTCGCTCAGGAGAAAAGGCAAAGTAACTTTGATCTAGCTATTCTGCAGCGTTCTTCTTTCACTATTTCGGTTTTGCTTTTTTTTTATGAGGCTGAGGAAAGCTTTTTGCTTGAGAGCGATTTTAATTTAATTAAAATGTGATGATACTGAAAAGAAAAAAGAAAGTTATGATTAAGGTCCAACTACAAGAGTCTCTGCAAGATCCATTTTATTTGAGAATAAACAGAATCTCTTACAGTCTATGATGTACAGTATTAGATCTAAATGATTCAATTCAGTTCCAATCCAATTTAATTTAGTTTCAATTTATATGTGTTTCTTCTCAAAATTAATGTTTATTGCAATTTATTTACAATAATACCCTAGAAGAGCACTTACTGAAATCTGTGCATTTGGACATTTGACAGATCCTTCCAACATATCATTGATACAGTATGTGTCTCACAGCAGCATCTCTATTTCCTGCAGTGACTGAGGGGGGCAAACATTCCCCCCCCCATTCTTACCACTCTCTACAGAAGCACCATTGAGAGCACCTTGACCAGCTGTGTCACTGGTTGGGGAATTGCAATGCTTCAGACCGCAAGACCCTGCAACGCATTGTGGACACAACTGAAAAGATCATTGGAGCCTCCCTCCCTTCCATTTCTGTCATCTATCACAAACGCTGCTTACACAGGGCCCCCAGTATAGTAGACGACCCCACCCATAAACTCTATGCCCTCCTACCATCTGGGAAAAGATATCACAGTGTACGGGCTGGCTCCACCAGACTTTGTAACAGTTTCTTCCTGTAAATGAGCTTTGAAACACATTTCAGAGAACGTTCTCTTGAGCCACAGTACAACGTCCATTGCAATCTATCTCCAGCTCGGACACAAGCAGAACTTATAGGGCCCAAGGACGGTATCTGAGTTTTGCTAAATTCTGGATATTGTAAAAAATGGAAATTCTCAAGCCTTCCATGGGCAATATTGATAGTTTATTCGCAACACTGGATAAGAGCGTTTTGGGATCAAAACTGCATTGGATATGAAGGTCTAAATCCCACAGCCACCCAGGAACCATAGTGTACAGTATAAATATACTGTATTGAAAAACAAATAAAGAGACTCTTCTACCATATATATGAAATATAATTTAACAATCTCCAGTGAGGTTTTGCTTCTCTGTAGATTAATATAGAAAGCAAAATGTAGCATAACTGTTCTGTGAAATATATTTATATAGGACCAATTCTAGAGGTGCAGCATTATCCTGGATTAGTACAGAAATCTTCCTTTTTGCCCAATAATCCCCTAATTACCTAAATGTCTTACCATCTTACCATCAGAAGCAACAATGCAATTTCTTAGTTAAGAATATTCCAATAACCTTTGAGACCTCCCTATTCACACAGGTGAAAAAAGCAGACTTGGGCATGTACTGTGGTTGTTTGATTTAAGGGAAGATGCTGACACTTTGTGCTCCTTTCAGAAGCAGTAACAAACATGTCAAGCCCAAGGGAAGTAGGAGAAACATTTAAATGTGAAGCCACACAGAGTGGGTTAAAGTACAAAAAGAGCCAATGGACGACAATGAAGGATTTTTTCCAGTCAGAACACTGTGAGTATTATCAGCTTTGAGCAGGGAGGTGCAAATCTTTTATACATTTTCATTTGTATTCAGTGGTGTTTGTAACAGGTCTTTAGAAGGTTTGTGATATACAAATTAAAGATCAAAGTCTACTGCACTTCTACAGTAGGAATAACTGTAAAG